TGTTATATTTATTCATTAAATATGGGTAATATAAATTATATATTTAAAAACCAAAAATAATTTCGGTAAATATAAGAATTTTATAATATTAAAAATATCTTATATTTATCTTTATTTACCATCCATAATCATACTCTAACAACTGAAATCTAGCGTTTTTCAACAGTACGTTTAAAAAACTTTATTAAAACAAAGTGTTTAAACTTATACAACCAATAAGCCATTACTAAATCATTTTGCCCCATGAAAGATTTGTGAAAGATATGTTTCAAAAAAAACAAGATTTGTTAAATAATTGTGATAGATGTATTGTACGTGTGAGCCCACTGAAGGCCACCTAAATGTTTTACACATGTCTTTTCCATAACGCAAAAATTGTCCTTGTGCCGGTCCATTACGTATGTCATTTTTCTTCTCTCTATTTTTTCTTTTATTTCTATTTTTCTTTCCAAATAATTTTTCAATAGTACTATATACTGTACTTTTATTTTGGTCGAAACTATCATATACTAATTCTCCTTTTTGTGATTAATTTTATAGAATTCACACAAACTAAAAATAATAGTTAAATTAATTAGTATACATAATTTAATTTTTATATATGATCATAACTACTATTTTAAGCTGAAATCAAACTAATTGATATGATGCAGAAAATAAATAACGCGTTTTACGTGACATAAATAAAACCATCCAAGTAAAGAAATTTGGCAGCCTTTTGCAACTAAAATCATGGTGCATCTTCCTTGCAACTATTGGTGGTGCTTCCGATTCTTTCAAAGGACCTCTGATCGAATCATTTTATACCGGAAACAAAAGAAAAGGGCCACAACATCTTGCACTCCAGCTTCGATTCGAGTCTTCATGGATCTTGTTATTGAACATCGTCTCATTTCTTTCCCACCTAAAGATAGTGTGTCTGTACTATTCTCTTTGAATTTTAGTTTGGCTGTGTTTCTTATATGTTATAAACATTTATTTTCTTCCTCCTTGAAAGAGAGATGTCTTGAACCACTAGACGATTTACAGACACATAGTAAGTACACCAACAAAGGAAGTATTCTGCAGGATCTAATGGATATTAAAACTATGTACTAAGAAAAGAATACTTCTTAGTATAAAGGAGAGAAGCGTTTATTATAAACAAAAGGGGAGAAGCTTTTATAGCTTTTATTATAAAGAACACTCGAAAGATTATTAAGACTTTCAAACTTATTTCTCACATTTTTAGGGGCATACTTCCTCTTTTGTCTCTGTAACAAAGAATTTAGATTATATTTTTGGTCAAAGTTAACTAGATAAGTAACCATAGAAAAAACATGTTATTTTATTGTTCTATCACTATGCAGCTACAAGGAAGTCTGTGCCTTTGCCAAGGGTGCTCGTCCTACATCTAAACGAGATGGTGAGTGGATGATCCAATGTCATTGATTTGTAAATTTGGCCTTGAGAAACCTCGGTTAGGACTAGTGTTTTTGGGAGTTATCTTGTCATAAGTCTGATCATTGCGTTGTCGAAATCTTCATTGTGGCTTGTAGTTCAACCTTTGATTTTCCACATTTGGAAAGAGAGGAATAATAGACTACACAATTCTGTCTCCACTCCGTATAATGTTATTTTCAAGTTGATTGACCGTAGCATCTGAGACTGCATTCTTGCTCGGATTCACCGAAAACCATTCCAGAACTTTCTCTCACAATGGTTCACCTATGAGTAGTTAACACATGTTGGATC